TGGTGTTGCACACCTGTAACCCTGGCACTCGGGAGGCTGAGGAAGAACAAAATAAGCTAGCTAACTTCATGAACCTTAGTAAAGCAAATAAGAGAAAAATAAGAGTAATATTACCAGTTCAATCTTTTTATTTATTTATTTATTTATTTATTTAGGTACTGTATTGGGAAATGAACCCAGGGTGCTTAAACTCAGGACCTTTTCACTGATCTATATCCCCTGGCCCTTTCTTATTTTTTGTTTTAGGTTCTCACTAAAACTTCTCACTAAGTGGCCCAGGCTGGGCTTGAACCTGCAATTCTCCTGTATCAGCCTCCTTGAATGCTGGGATTACAGGCATGAGTTACCAAACTAAGTTCTGCATCCTTTGTTGTTGTTACTGTTTTTGTTTTTTCTTTATCTTTTTTTTTAACTTGGTACCAGGAATCAAACTCAGGACCTTGCTCTTGCCAGGCAGTCATTGTGCCACTGAACTATATCCCCAGCTCCGTTTTTGTTTTTTGAGACAAGGTCTCACTATGTAGTTCAGCCTGGCCTTGAACTTGTTATGTACCCTAGGCTGGCCTCAAACTCACAGCAATCCTCTTGCCTCTGCCTCCCCAGTGCTGGGATTAGAGGTGTGTGGCACCACACTGGGATAAAATTTTTTTTATTTTGAGGCAGAATCTTACTAAGTCCATAAATTGCCGAAACTGGGCTCAAACTTGTGATCCTCCTGCCTCATCCTTCCAGAAGGCTGGTATAAGATGTTTTGTTTTGATTTTGGTGCTGGGAACTGAACTCAGACTTTGGACATGCTAAGCACACACTGTATCCCTGAGCTACATCCCTACCCCACCATATGGCTTGAGGATTTCTTCTCAAGGAGGTCTAAATAAGAGTGAAAGGCCTAAAGCTGCAGTGGCAGGGATCAGAGTTAGACTTCAGCAAGAGAAAAGCAGACAGCTCAGGAAGGCCACGGAGCTCCTGGCCTGAAGCAAAAGCTGTTAGAATGGGAAGCCATGCCAAGGACCCACATGGTGTCCCCCACACAGGCCAGAGGCTCCTGTGACTTGCAAAAGGGGTGAAGGGCCATGCCAACTCCCAGTAGGAGGTCAAGGAGGCAGTGGGTGAAGAAGAGACAGACGTAGGCAGGAAAGTGTCCTCCAGTCCTGCTGTGGCCCTGCTGTCTCTGGATAAGCAGAAGGTACTGGGCCTCCACCCTGATAGCATAAAGGCTGTTTATCATGGCCCCAGATGGCCGCACCCGGCCCAGACACTCCTCTGGTCCACACCCTGATCACAGCAGGCCCCACTCCCAGGCAGGGGCCAGTCACAGGCTCAATGGCTGGCTGAAATACCCCTGTCCTCCACTTCTAGGACCCCTGGGCTTTGCCCTCACTTAGCTTTGGACTTGGCCCCCAGACTCTCAGGCAGACGCTTAGGCAGTGTGGCACAGTTTGGTTCTGGTGCTTGAAACCCTTACTCTGAACAAGGATCTTTTTTAAGTGCCTGTGGGTCTCTGAGTAGAGGTGGCCTGGGGAAGAGTTACAAACAGGAAAGAGGTTCACAGGGAAGCAGGAACAAACATAATTCCTTAACCTGGCTAGATAGAGTACCAGGGTTCATCACTCATTGTTGCTCGTTTGATTCTTACAGCTCAATGAGGTGTTTCACCACTGAAGCTCAGGCAAGTGCAGCTTGCCCCAGTCACACAGTTAGTGAGTGACAGAGGGAAGGAGGAGGCAAGAGCACTGGCATTACTGCATGTGTGCCAGGCTCTAGCCGGGGTCCTCAAGATGTGTGTTCATAGAGACCTCATAATCACCATGTAAGCTAGGTACTGATAGCTCTCATTTTTTATTTGAGGAAACTGAGGCTAACAGCATTTGGTCTGAAGTCACACAGCCAGATGCAGTGAGCTGAGGCTGTCATTCAGGGCCTGTCACCACTACAAATGATCCCAATCTGCTTTCAAGAATTAGTCTGTAAGCCAGGTGTGGTGGCGCATGCCTGTAATCCCAGCATTCGGGAGGCTGAGGCAGGAGGATCGTTGCAAGTTTGAGACCAGCCTGGGCTACAAAGTGAGCTCAAGGCCAGCCTGAACTGCATAGCAAGACCCTGTCTCAAAAAGACAAAAAAAAAAAAAAAAAAAAAAAAAAAAGAATTAGTCTGTAGCCAGACATGGTAGTGCATGCCTATAATCCAGCACTCAGGGAGACTGAGGCAGGAGGATTACTGTGAGTTCGAGAGCAGCCTGAACGACAAAGTGACTTTTTTTTTTTGATACTGGGAATCAAACTCTAAGACCTTGTGCTTGCTAGGCAGGTGCTTGTGCCACTGAGTTATATCCCCAGCCCTGAACTACAAAATGAGACCGTCTCAAGAAAGAAAGACAGCACTCGGGAGGCAGAGGCAGGAGGATAGCTGCAAGTTTGAGACCAGCCTGGGCTACAGAGTGAACTCAAGGCCAGCCTGAACTGCATAGCGAGACCGGTTCAAAAAGAAAAAAAAAAAAAAAAAAAAAGAGAGGGGGGCAGGGGGATGCGGAAAGAAACAAAGGGACGGAAGACCAGGAAGAGCCATGCATGCTGGCACATGCCTGTAATCCCATCACTGGGAAACTGAAACAGGAAGATTGTAAATTCAAGGTCAGCCTGGGCTACATAGAGACCCTGTGTCAACCTTTACTTTTTTTTTGTCCCAAGTGCTGGGATTACAAGTGTGTGCCACCACGCCCAGCTAAGCTCTACTCTTTACCCTACTCCTCCCAAAGGATTTAAGACTTCCCTGTAAGTCTCCCTTAGAAATCTGAATAGGGAAAAGGCATTAGGTAGACAAGAAAGGAAGGAAAATCATGGTAAACAGAGGGTAGAACATGTGCCACAGTCCCATGGTAGAAGGAATAGAATACCTGTAAAGAATCAAAAGGTCAGGCCTCTCCTCTAACTCCTCATTCAGGTCTAGTCTGTCCCTGCAGAGGAGCAGAACAGATCAGATTGTCTTTAGGATAAGGGAAAGGAGAGAGTATGCCCCAGAATGAGAGTCTAAACAACAGAAGCCCTGCTTTGAGGAACTCTATACTAGGAGTCTCCACTTCCCCAGAGGCAGAGAACTAAACAATGCAGGGTTCTTAGTCTAAGCACCTTGAGCTCTGAAGACCAGGCTGTCACTTTTAACACTGGCTCCAACAAGAGCCGGGGAGCCAGGTGCACTCAAATCTCCCAGCAGCACATCCTACCCAGGGGATCTTGCCATAATAATAGGGAAGGCTTTGCCTGCCTAGGTCTGGCCTTCTTGGGCTCAGCATAAACAGAGGCTGGACCTGAGAATGGAAATTTAGCCTGAGGGGTCCTGTGAACTTGCCCCAGACAGAGCGCACATGGATGCACTGACAGGACCCTCCTTGGCCTATTGTGATTCACGTAACTTTCTCCACCATCACCAAAACAAAACAAAGCAAACCCTCTGCCAGAGCTCTGATGGATGAAGAATCTAAGCCCTAAAGGATGGGGTGAGCTTTTTTTGTTTTGTCCCCACCCCCTTTTTTTTTTTCTTTTTGAGACAGGGTCTCACTAGTCAGTTCAGCCCGGCCTTGAACTCATGTAGCCCAGGTTGGCTTCGAACTCACAATGATCCTCTTGCCTCAGCCTTCCGAGTTCTGGGATTACAGGCATGTGCCATCACTCCCAGCTTGTTTTTTGAGACAAGGTCTCACTATATAGTTCAGGCTGGTCTTGAAGTCTCTGCAATCCACTTGCCTTTGCCTCACTAATGCTGGGATTACAGGTGTGTGCTACCATGACCGGCGGATGACCAGCTTTATGGGATGGAGTTGAAGGGTGGCTCTTAAGATTTAGCAAGGCCCTTAGAACAATGGGGGTGGGCTGGAAGTGTAGCTTACTGGTAAACTGCTTAATTAGTATGTTCGAGGCCCTGAGTTTCATTCCAACACTGCAACGATAGCAACACACACATACACACACACAGAAAGACCTAATAGAGAGAAACAGTGACACTTGTTCCATAAAGTCCAGCAGGGAAAGTGTTAAGAGGCAGTGCCTTCTAGAACCCGGGAAAAGTGCCCCACCCAAGGGAGGGGTCAGTAGGTTAAAAAGGCAAGCAGCTGGAGCAGAGACAAGGCCTCTGTACACCCAGGGGGCTCCTCACTGCAGTTCCAGCTCCAGGTAAGCATTCCTCTCTGGGTCAGTCTGTCTGCCTCTGGGCTGAGCAGAGGAAACCTTCTGCTTCTTTATGGTGTCTCTGCTTGTTTAACTGTAGCCCTGGGTCCCTAAGAGATCAACAGACACTAGATCTGCAGGGGCTTTTTTTTGGGCCAGTTCTCTTCCCTAAATCACTTGGACTAAGCCTGACCACAGAATCAAGATGTTGGGTTGGGAGGGAGAGGGGGGTCGGGGGGAGCACCGTGTGTCCAGTCCTGACCTGGCCTGCCTTGTGCACAGCCCCTGGCTAACCTGGCCCACACGTCTGATTCCTGACCTCCTGCAGGGCTCTGGCTGGGATATCATCATATACTGTAAGTTTGTGATGAGACACTACAGTATAGATGATGTACTAGTCCGGGTACCCCCAGCTCTGGACCCTGATGGAGGGTCGGGGGGATGCTGAGCGCCCCAAGCGCTCACTGCTCAGCCTATCACAGCTTGCTGACTGTTGAGGCACTTGGGGATGGCGAGGAAACCGTTACCATTACTGAGTTTAGTAATGGTGACGGTTCTCTTGCTGCTCCCAGAAACTGTGCCAGGAAGAGAACTCAGGATCCTGGAGCAGACTCCTGGGAGGGAGACTCTAGGTCTACATGGGGGTGGTGGTGAGGGAATAGCTATGATTTTCCGTTTTAAAGAAATAAAGATGAGGGGCTGGGGATTTAGCTCAGCGGCAAAAGCGCCAGCCTGGCAAGCGCAAGGTCGTGAGTTCGGTTCCCGGTACCAGAGAAAAACCAAAAAAAAAAAAAAAAAAATTTTTAAAAAAAAAAAAAAAGAAATAAAGATGAGAACCAGAACAGTTGTCTTTTAACTTCATTGACGTCGGCAGAGGACTGGGGTGGGAGGGGTCAAGGACTTGCAGGAGGAGGTGGGTGGTACCCTTTACAGGGCTAAGGAAAGGAAGTGGTGAGAAAAGAGAAAGAGCTCCCTGCTAACTGCCAAATTAAGGCAAGACTCTGGGCCCTATGCCAACTGAGGGCAGAGGTCACCTCCTGAGACCTACATGACTGAGGCCCCCAGACAGAGGAACTGCCTGGGAACTGAGCTAAAGTAGGTTCCTTCTTCCAACAAAAGATGTGGCTGGGCAGGGACTGTACAGATTCAGCAAGGCCGGACCGGCCAGCAGCTGGTTAGTGTCCATTCCCTTTACCAGGCCTTGCAGGCCCACTAGGAGGAAAGGGAAGTTCTGGTGACTCCTGCCAGGAGCTTGAACTACGTCCCAGGAGGGGCAGTAGAGGGTGGTCACTTGAGGAGCTTCACACAGAGGCGGATGTGAACATCGCAGAGGAAGATATCCATGAGATCTCGACCCACCTCCTGTGCAATCTGGGAGATCATCTGGCCCTTCTGACCAATCAGGAGCCTCTACAAGTGGGAAAGAGAGGAATATGATCCTACTCTCAGGGAAGAACGCTGTCTAACAGAGCCTTTGTCCCTCCTCCAAGCCTAGTATCACTTACCACATGAGATTCTTTGGGCACGAGAAGGTTCTGTTGGATCACCAGCTCCCCACTTGGTCCTTCTTCCCACACTACTGTCTTCTGCGAGGGGAGACATCATGACTAGTCAGGCAGGCCCATCTCTCTGCCTCCTGGTACCCAACTATACTATTCAGGATTATGTGCCTTGTACCCCCAGATCCCTTCATTCTGCTCGCACCTGTTGCACATTATAGGGTACCTCCTGAGGCAGGTGCTCCAAGAGCTTCTCTCGGATTTTGTTGGTGCAGATCTCTTCAGGTGTCTGGCTAGTGAGGACTCCACTATGGAACTCCCAGGGCCCTGGCTGGGCTTGTGCCAGGAGGTATTGCTGTAGGTACAAAGGGATAAGTGGACACCACAATTCCAGCCAGGACTTTCCTACTCACTCTTGCCTTTAGGAGGAAGTCTGAGGCCTATCTTCACATGGTAGAAACCAAGGGCCAGGCTATGGCCAAGGCTAACTGACCTTTAGCATCTTTACATCTTCTTGGCTTAGGGATGACAACATGAAGACCTCCTGGAAATGGGGCCAGCCAATCCTTTGTGGGCTTCTTACAGACTGTGTATCTGGGTCCTCAGCTGCCGGGCTAGGGCAACGGGTGCGAGGGTGTGAGTGGAAGGCCTGTCTCACATTCAGCTTCTTGCCATTGACCACACCTTCAGTGAGGGCCGCTGTGAGCTCCAGGAGAACTGCCTTCTGCTTCAGGCAATCCACCTGGGCATGAGAAATGGGCAAAGTGTGTGTGGTCAGTGAGATGGGGCCCATGGAGGGAAGCAGACCCCTTCCTCAAGTGAACAGTGCTTACCTTGTTCAAGACAAGAATGCTGGGGACCTGGGAGAACTGGGTCAAGCACTGAAGCACCTGTGGGCTGAGCTGGTTCCGAGTCCACTTGTCTGAGACATCCACAAGAACTACAACTGAAGGATCGTAGAGCAGACAGAAAAAAAAGGACATGACCATTCTTCTTCCTGCCCCATAAAAACTTACCAAGAATGAAAGGCCATGACCCCTGTAAACTGGACTTCAGATTCCCACTCTGAGCCTAACCAAGATTAGCAGATTCCATGCTCTTCCAAGGGTCCTCCAACAAAGAGAGCTCCAGATGGTGCCTGAAAGACAGACATGTATCAGTTACTAAGGGCCTTATGACTGATACATTCTTTTCCTTTCGTTAGTTTGCTTTTCTCAAGACATGGTCTTACTCTGTACTTCAGGATGGCTTTGAACTCCCCATGTAGCCCATGCTGGCTTCAAACTCATGATGATCCTGCTGCCTTAGCCTCCCAAGTGCTGGGATTATAGGCATGTACCACCACACTTGGGTATCATTGATACATTCTTTTTTTTGAGACAGGGTCTCTCTATGCAGTTTAGGATGGCCTCAAACTCACAGTGATCCTCCTGCCTCAGCCTCCCAAGTGCTGGGATTACAGGCATGAGCCACCACACCCAGCCTTAGTCATACTTTTTTTTGTCTTTTTGAGACAGGGTCTTGCTATGCAGTTCAGGCTGGCCTTGAGCTCACTTTGTAGCCCAGGCTGGTCTCAAACTCACAAAAATCCTCCCGCCTCAGCTTCCCCATTGCTGGGATTACAGGTGTGCGCCACCATGCCCGGCTCATACATTTTTGATGATAGGGTATGGTAATGGTTTCACAGCCCCCATGATACAATCTCCCCACCTCATCTTCAATACTTATCCCATCTCCACCTGTTTCCACGGCCATTACCGTTTCCGTTTAGCAGAACTGATGATGCCAGGTGTGTCAAGGAGAATCTAGAATCAATAAAAAAATCCATATTGCAAAAAAAAAGAAAAGTTATCACAGGGCTGGGGATTTAGCTCAGCGGCACAGCGCCTGCCTGGCAGGTGCAAGGTCTTGAGTTCAATTCCCGGTACTGGGAGAAAAAAAAAAAGTTATCACTTCTTGGCCTTTTGACTAAGATCAGGCACAAAAAAAAGTTATAGCTGGGTATGGTGGTGCACGCCTGTAATCCTAGCATTCGGGAAGGATTGCTGAGAGTTTGAGACCAGCCTGGGCTATAAAGTGAGCTCAAGGCCAGCCTGAACTGCATAGTGAGACCCTGTCTCAAAAAGACAAAAAAAAAAAGGTTATGACTGGGATGTGAGAGCCCTTCCATGATGTCAACAGCCCTCCCTCTCCTTTTTTGGCTATACTGGAAATCAAACCCAGTGGCATTCTCCACTGAGCTATCTCCCCAGTCCTCTTCTTTTCTTTTGGAGACAAGGTCTCTTCTAAGTCACTAAACTGCTCAGGCTGGGTTTGAACTTGTGATCCTCCTGCCTCAGCTGTCAGAGTGCTGGAGTTATAGGCATGAACCACCATGCCTAGCCTCTGTTTTTAATTTTTTGTTTTTTTGTTTTTTTTCCGGTACCGGAAATCGAACTCACGACCTTGCACTTGCCAGGCAGGCACTGTGCCACTGAGCTAAATCCCTAGCTCCCATGCCTAGCCTCTGGACTTGCTTATTTATCTATCTGTGTGTCTATCTTTCTATCCCTTCACCCCATTTATGGACAGGGTCTTGCAAGTTCCCCTTGTGGGACTCGATTTTTTTTTTTTTTTTTTGAGACAGTGTCTTGCTGCTATGCAGTTCAGTCTAGCCTTTAACTTGTGGCAATCCTACCTCAGCCTGAGAGCTGCGATTACAGGCATGTGCCACCATGCCCAGTAGGACACAAATTTGTGATTCCTTTGCTTCTGTTTCTTTTACTGCTGGGATTACAGGGGTGCCCCATTGTACCTGTCTACCCTCCCTTCTTGGCCAAGTTGTTGCTGACTTTAAATTTTCACCCTTCAGCATTGTTTTAATTCTAGGTGGAATTCCAGAGGCAGATGATTATGAACAAAACAAAGATCAGCAAGCAGTAAAGAAGGAATGATACTTTCAGACTAGGTGACAAAGCAGGGAAGGCACAGACAGAGTGGCACTGGGCTTTAAGGAATCTGAGAACTGAGTCTTCCCTCAGAAAAGTTGACCTGCATCACTTCCTTCACTCCTAACAGTAAAGGTGACTTACTTAGTCTCACTTTCATCCTGTTTCAGTACTTCCTTTGTAGGTACCTACCAGCTGGGTCTCCTTCTCTGTGATGACCCCCAGAGCTTGGCAGCGAGTGGTGTGTACCTTCCTGGAGACAGGGAACACCTGCCAGATACAAAGAAGTCCTAGTGAGAGCCCAGATCCCTCCAGGACCATCCATAAAGGCATGCAAGAAACGACAGATTAAAGGGGGTCGGGGTGGGGTCAAAGTGCAACGTACTTGCCGGCCCAGAAGCTGGTTGGAGAGTGTTGATTTCCCTGCATTTGGGGATCCTAGGAAGACCACCCGTAGGACACGGGGATTCTCAGGCATGTCAGGGGGACGGACCAATAGGAGGTCTTGCTCATCTGTGTTTGAGTGGGAAGAGCAGTGAGACACAGTGGAATCTGGACTTCCCATCAGATGGTAAATCCTCCCACCCACTAAGGAAATAAAGATGCAAAGTTAGTGTGCTAGGCTGAAGCCACCTAAACCTTACTTTGAGACTTAGTTTAGCCTTTTAATTTGATTTTATCATGTTTTCTAGCCTCTCAACCCCTTGTTTTCTCATACGTAAAATGGAGCTGATGCCCAGTGTGATGGTTCATGATTTGTAATCCCACCACTCAGGAAGCTGAGACAGGAGAATCATCGCAAGCTTGAGGCCAGCCTAGGCTATATAGTGAGTTCAAGGCCAGCCTGAAGTACATAGCAAGACCCTGTCTAAGTAAACAGAAAACAGGGTTGACCTACTTACAACTTTGACAATTGTGTAAAACTACTCAGGATAATGCTTAGCAATGAACAGATACTCAATTACTACACAGAATTACACCGTGTACTTGTGCCTGGGAAATGTATGCTCATTTGTTAAAGCACAGCTAGACTAGCTGGGTGCACTGTGGCACTCCTATAATCGCAGCTACTCAGGAGGCTGAGACAAGAGGATCACTTGAGCCCAGGAGTTCAAGACTAGCTTGTGTACAACAGACCATAATCAAAATTTTCCAGCTCTCAGTCTACTAACAATACTGTGAAACCTGCAAACTTTCTCAGTCTTTCCTTATGATATCATACTGCAGTTAACAGTTTAACTGTCCAGCCTCCCTATCAGGCGCTAGCTGTGCTCTTTCCCAGGTGTAGCTCATAGTCTGGACAAGCAGGCTCAACATCCGTTTATTGGATAAAGTTTGCTTGTCGGACGGAGACAGAGCCGCAGCTGTCTTGCTTCATGCTCTTTTGTGTCTCTGGCTGTGACGGGATGGTTCCCTCTCCTTCTCAAGCTCTTAGAACCTTCACTTCTGATCTGTTTAAAGGTCTCAGGAAAATTATTATTTTTTTTTGGAGACAGGGTCTCGCAGTATAGCTCAGGTTGGCTGCACACTCGCAGCAATCCTCCTGCCTCAGTCTCCTGATTTTTTTTTTTTTT